AAAGTCAACCCTGTTCACTGATACAATTTATTTTATTGCTTCACAGAATCATTCCTACTTAAATTCCAACCTGTACTTTAAACCTGATCACATGACCTAACATATGCAGATATGAGAAATGATGACGAAAGATTAAATAGCCATGTCAAGTAATCAATAATCAATGGAATATCTTAATTAAAGTACTTAGTGAAATTCCGGATTTCTGTTACTCGTGTTTAGTTTTGTCATTATGGAAATGCTACAGAATCCTGAAAGATGTCAAATCAATTCCTGTGTTTATCGAAGACATTTGTTACATAAACTCACTTGATGGAAAATATTCGTAATGTATGAGATGTACATTTAAAATTCAATAGGGACACTTTATGATGGTGTTTGCTCTAACTGACCAAGTTATTGGAAAGACAAACTCATTGTAGTAAAATACTTATTGTATACTCCAGAACAGTGGGTTGCCTTTTACTCTGAGTAACAAATGATATTCTATTCCTATTTTCAATATAACACAATATAACATCAGATTTTTAACCATTAAAACAAATCTTTACATAAAACATAGAAAAATCCTAATACAGGGTGTCCCGAAAGTATGCCCCCCCCCTAGGCAGACATATTCCAGTGTCCTCATAGTATGTGTCATATATCATTTTAAAGCTTATCCAAAGTTACATTGATTTGCAAAGTATCATGGTTTAACTCTCAAATGGGAAAGAGTTAGAGTCATTTTAAAAGTTAGTGTTTTGTCAAAATAAAGTTCAATTTTACGCCACATTACTAGTCAATGTGTCCCCCTTGGCCATGTTAACAGCAGCAATTATTTTCAGATATGACCTTAAAAGCCCTTAAAATAGGGGTGTGGAATTTTATAACCCTATTAAAATCTGTTAAGGGACTTTAGAAGAGTTTCCTTAGAGTTTCTACCCTCACCGTTCTCTTTTTCCAACTCAATATCCATCCGACCCGAAAAGATTTGCTGCTGTTAAGATGGCCCGGGATGACACATTGACGAGTGATTTGGTGTAAAATTGAACTTAATTTTGACCAAGCACTAAATTTTGAAATGCCTGTAACTTTTTCCCATTTGGGAGTTAAACCATGATACTTGGCAAATCAATGTAACTTTGGATAAGCTTTAAAATGATATATGACACATACTATGAGGACACTAGAATATGTCTGCCTAGGGGGGGGCATACTTTCGGGACACCCTGTACAATGAGATTTATTAACAGGGGCGTCGCCAGCAATTGTCAAGGGGGTGCCATTTTCGGGTTTTCATCAGTGCGAGCGAAAAAACAAGCCCCAAATAAGGGGGTTCGGGATTCACCCCCGGAAATTTTTTTAATTTATATTGCATATGGCGCATTCTAAGCATTTCAAACTATTTGTTAATGATTTTCAACAAATTTTACATAATTGCCCATTTCTTTTTTGTGGGGATGGGGGATGCGATGGCACCCCCTGGCTACGTCCAAAAGAGCGTTATTCCAATGAGATATTGTAATAACCATTAAAATCAACCTTCAACATGTTCAAATTGAAAAACAAAGCAAAGAACAATCCCAAATGTGACCAACAAGAGAAAACAATCCAAACAACCGCTTCAAATTAAAAACAAAACAATTACAAATCCATGTTTTCCATGTCTATCTCGAGTTGAACATTTTATAGAAAGTTTTAAACAAAACCGATCGAATTTGAACAATCCAGACTACAGGTAGTCTGTGGATTGCTTTGGCTTTTGCCAGTGTGAACAGGTATCATCGATTTTCTCCAACGCTCAGCTCGGAATGGAAGACCTGTTGCATTCGGATCTGTCAATAAAGCAAAGGCTACCGACCAGCGAGCATCATAGATTCATCGAGTCTTAGTCGCAGAAACTCTGCAGATTATTTCATTTCATGTTCTTGAATAATTCGTCATCATACAGTGATTATAAAATAAGTGTAAAAGGCGTAAAATCATGAAACTATAAATTAGTTAATTCGCGCAAAAATTACACGATCATAGTAGGTATAGTGAGGATCTACAAGAATAAGTATTTGGGTGAGATAAAATGGATGCTGCAAAGAGAATTGCTGAGTTCAAGCGAAGTCGGGGAAGCTCATTGTCGGATGCTGAAAAGGCATTTACTGCAAGGAATGAAGGGGAGCTCACTGCAGCGGTAGAGGTAAGGAAAAGAAAAAACATATGTATTTTTTCTTGTCATATAATTTTGGATTATGTTGTTTGTTTGTTTGTTTGTTTGGATTTGCATGTTTAATATATGTTTTGTAAATGCTTCGTTGATTTATAAATGTTTTAAAGATAAAAGTTTTTTAGTTTCCGTCATATTGATATGTCAGTTGCTATTTGCATGTTTCATAGTCATCTAACTTGTTTTCTTTCAATTTAAAAGATCGTGCATGCTATTGTTTTCTTTATACTTCATTCTGTTTCATCTCTTCATTTTTACAATCTGGCCACGACAACTGAACAAGTTAAACTTAGAAAAGCCTGAGAGAATCGGTTCTTAGAAAAATATAATTGGGCTAGTTTCCCGGCAATCGCTTCGTGTGTTACAAATCACCTGGAATTCATGATTTCAAAATTTAAATACTATTTTACAAAAAAGGAATGCTAACATAAAGTACCGAAATACTGATTTAAAAGCGTATTTTAAAACTTGAAAACGGAAATGGTGACTTTAAACTAAAATATATTTTGAATTAGCTGTCTGACAAAGAAAATTGTAGTTACCAAATACTCTTTGGTTTGAAAAAATAGATCATTACAATCATATACGACTTCTGGTCAGTTTGTGAAATTTGAATTTTCTTTTTGGCGCTAATGTGGAGATAATTGAATTAAACAAAGCTGCAACGAAGAAGGCCGCACCTACATACTCCTACAAATACTCCTACAACCGATTAATGATTGGAGACAACACAATTGCCATTAACTAATAAATTAGGAAAACATTGAAGTCATTTCTCATTGTATATTGTGTCACATATTATTAGTGATGTAAATATAGCTGCATGATGGTGATGTATTCTGTTTGATCTAAGTCATTCAAAGTACAGATATCGTTAATCCCATAATTAAATCACCATAATGTATCGAAGTAATGCAATGATTTTCCTTCTTCGTTTATCAAATGGCATTGTTCAAATGAGAAAGTACAATCCAGTTAAAAGTACCATTCAATTTCTAATGAACTGTCTGTTACCCGTTTAGAATTATGACTTCAACACTTCGTATGAGCATCGGTATTTTACAATTATATCAAGTTTTAACAATAGCAGATCAAAAATGTTCATTTTTAAAGTTGGTTAAAATGCCATCAGCATTTACATTGGGCGACAATGAAATTTAAACAGGCCGTGGTTTCTCTGCAGACAAAGATCCACAATCTAAATGATGCAACAATGAAGTTTGGAAAGACGATGTCCATTGTGTTCTCGCTGACTAACGAAGTAGGAGGATTGGCCAATGCCCTGAAGATCTTTCAGGTAAACTCTAGATGTTCATTCTGATCAACCTCAAACAGACAAATATAACCATGCATAATTTTTTAATCATAAAGGGACGTACGCATAAAGAAGTATTTTTGAGAATTTGACAATAACGATTGTAACATTATGTAAATGTAATAATAATGTCAAATGTTCTCTTAAAATGCATTAGTCAGAAATAAAATAATTCAATTTATGTTCTTCCTTGAATAGTTCTGTTTATTATACTTTTGTTTTGCCAGCTTGTAAAACTTGTACTTTGCCTTTTCATTTAAGGATCACAATGTTAATGTTGTCCACATTGAATCCCGCAGACCTAAAAACAATGACAATGCATTTGAGATTTATGTGGACATTGAAACCGACAATTTTATTCTGGAAGAAGTTGTGCAGACTTTGAAGACAGAAGTCGCTAGTATAACACTACAGGATGGCACCACATTCATTCCAAATCAACATAATAAAAATGGGAAAATTGGTATGTTAGAAACACATAAAAAGAGCGAAGGGAAACCGCAACAACCATACAATGAATACTGTAGTGTCCTTCCATGGCTAATTTTCTAATAAATCTTGATAAATCTCAATATAAGCTACAACAAATAGTTGACATGGCAAAACCGCCATCAGTCTACGTCAAACCATATTTTGAACATTTAAAAAACGAGTACTCACTAACCTTTTTTATAGTTGTGTTGACAGTGCTTGATTAGTTTTTTTCATATTCCAGTGTCACCAGAGGGGTCAAGATGGTTTCCAAAGAAGATCTCTGACCTTGACATAACATCGAACCGTGTACTTATGTATGGGGCAGAACTTGATGCGGATCATCCAGTATGTATACAATTAAAACATAAATTATGTCTATTTTTATGATTACTATCATCATCACAACATGTACATGAGTACTACGCCCATCTTGTAGGTGTTGTTAAGTTTATAATTTATGAAGTTAAAAATGCTTTATTTGTACACTTTGCACTCTTTATTCATGTATACATGTGTCCATGTATGGAGAAGTGCCAACGGGAAAGTACTAAAGCACCAAAAACGGTTACAGGACACAACAAGAATAAGAACACATCTTAGAGTCCACCAGTCATAAGGACAACAGACCCCAACTCTCCCGAATCACAGTCCAACATGAAAAGAAATGGTGTCTAATACCCCCTCCCCAACATTGTTGTTATGAGATCATAACACCAAGGGACATTTCATTCATATTGAAGTCATTCAGACAAGATAGAGCATTCGGTGTCAACTGATATGACTACCATTATAATATATAATAGGTAATATATCTAAAAGCATATTTAAACATTGCAGGGTTTCAAAGATGAAGTGTATCGCAAAAGAAGAATTGAATTTGCAGAGTATGCTTTTAAATATAAATAGTAAGTATATGTATTTTTCGGGTTCTAGCCATTACTCCGAAACCCATTACTCTGAAACCTAATACTCCGAAACCCATAACTCGGAAAGTTTGTGCATGACATAGAACCTACAGTTAATGTTAAGATCCCAGCGTTACAAGTATAACAATGTATACCCCCTCCATAAGTAATGGCGGAGTTAGGGTTGCCAAACTTATGGAGGGAAGTGTAGGTGTATTGAATAATGCATGTAGTATTAAATTAACAATTCTTGTAAAACAAAATTAATTTGTTTGACTTCTTAAGTGGTTCCTTCCTATCTGCTTCCTTTATTGATCTTTAACTAAACAACTGTCATATTTAAGATTGAAACAAAATCCCAAAAGGAATGCATTACCATCGGAATTTCTTTTATATTTGATTTTAGACGACTTACTGTTACTTCAGATGCTCCTTTAATTTTTCTTGGTGATATACTGTAGATGTGTACTTATACGTTTTCCCTTTCATTTGTGTGTCTTTGAATGTAACATTGATGGGTTATGTGGCTTAAGACATATCTCTATTTCAGGCATTTTGAATCATATTTGTTAATCTATCATCACCATAATAGATTATTTGGAATTCTCTTGCTTGTTAGAGATCTGTATGATGGAAATAATGTGTTTAATTTCCAAGGTTTTGCTTGAAAGTTTTATTTTTCAAAGCACTTCGCAAAGTGATAGTAAAATGTTAAATGTTCAAGGGATTAATCATTTAAATCTGTCAGTGGTCAAATACCTTTATAGAACCACCAACTTGGAGGAAAATAAGAATAGATACAGTGAATACATATTCTTTACATCAAGACAGATGTCATGTGCCATTGCCTATACTTCGTGCTATAAGATCAAGTGTCATTAGGGTAAATGCATTGCAATCCCCTATAATCACAATACGTCTTTAATAACAGATCTATTTAACAAGAGCAATCTAAATTCATGAGAGGATTACAGATGCCCCTGTAGAATAAATGCATTAGATTGGAATCAGAAGTTATTTTCAACAAATTGGCCATTAATCCTCCTAATGTACATCAAGGGCAAATCAACCTGACAACAGTGGATCAGAGGATATCAAAGGTCAGGGTCAAAATTGAGAAGATTTATATTTTGTAGCTTTGAATCAAAGTTATTTGATAGGATGACACAATCAGAAAACAAATGCTCAGTAAAATATACCAGAGAAAACTAGAAGTGACTTAAATGTTGCAGGGTTTACTATTGTAGGATCCACAGTCCCTGCTATCCCAAGCTTTAGATAAAGAGAGATCTTAATAAATCAAAATGTTGAAGCATAATATTGAGTGACAGTTGACAATTGCATCATGATTTTCTTGCGCAGTTTCGACAGTTGCTCAATGCTTTTTATGCGCAATATTTATAGCATTTCGTCAGACTGTTTTTACATTTGTATATTCGTTGTATTGTTTGATATAAACAGCCAGATGTAAGTTCCGACACCCCGAGTCTGATATTTAAGTACTTACATAATTTACCCAAATTTCACGTGATTTTATGAAAAACGAATTAACAGTGTTGTTAGGTTTACTTTCACATTATTACATGAAGCAACCCATGTTTATCCTGAGTCAACGTTGCTTTACTCTGTTCTTCTTATAATGTGTGCTTGCAATCTATGTTCTGTCTCTCATTTCCAGTGGGCAGCCTATTCCAAGGGTAGAATACACAAAAGAAGAAGTGAAAACATGGGGCAATGTGTACAATGAACTGATGAAACTTTATCCAACACACGCCTGCAAACAATTCCTTGAGAACCTACCTTTACTGCAAAAGCATTGTGGATACAGGTTGGTATTGTATTTTATGCTATACATACCAAATATACGTGAGATTAACGACAATTTTCGCTCCCAAATTCATATCCAACAGATATGACAAAATATCAAATCTGATGGATAGTATTTTCATTAGTTTTGAATTCAGCACCAAAAAGGTTTTTAACAAATGAAAATACATAGGATAAAAATATTATCCTGTGATTTTTTTACGACAATCATATTTATCCACAAAAAAAAGTTAAGAAAGATAACAGCCTTACCATAGAAATCCATAGGTTAAATATAATATACAGTCAAGTACCATGAATTTTGAAAGCTATCATTTTTATTGATGAGAGGATATTGACCATTTCCACAATTTAGCGCACAAGGCCTAGGTATAAATATGTATTGCACTACAGTTTACCTTACTATTATATTAACAGAGAGGACAATGTGCCCCAACTAGAGGATGTCTCCAATTTTCTACAGGAGAGGACAGGTTTCACATTGAGACCAGTTGCAGGTTATTTATCAACTAGAGACTTTCTGTCTGCCCTTGCATTTAGAGTATTCCCATGTACTCAGTACATACGTCATCCTGCAGATCCTTTCTACAGCCCTGAGCCGTAAGTACTTTATCTGGATACTTATCTCATAATTTGAACCATAAAATGATTCAATGCCTTTTTGGAAGTCAGTGGCTTTGTGAATAGATTGACCTGTTGACGTTATTGACGTTATTCTGTGTGTCCCACATCATTTGAAACTGAATGCGCCATTGTGTAATTACTTATGTATCTCATTTCTTTGAATGTTTCTAAATTAATGTGTATGTATTTTCTAGTTTGCATACTGTTGCTTGGCCGTATTGCTTTGTGTTATCCCAGAATTTTTTGTCATGGGGTGCTTCGTTATATCATTCAATACACCAAATGTTTCCAGAGATTGTTGCCATGAGCTGCTAGGCCATATTGCATTGTTAGCTGACAAGAGTTTCGCTCAGTTCTCTCAGGAGTTAGGATTGGCTTCCCTTGGAGCACCAGATGAAGAAGTTTCAAAACTTGCTACAGTAAGATTGTAATCGTGTGCTCTTTCTAGAAATCTGTAGAATATTTACTCAGGGATATAATTATTTGGTCAAGAATTAATGCTTCAGTTTTTTATGTGTTTACAGTACCTTTTATAATCCATCAATATATCCATTATCAAATTACTTTGCAACTGCCATTCGGTGCGTTATTGGTTACATTTTAGCTTTATAAACTATAACATTTAGGCAAGTATCGCAAAGCTTGTTTTTTATGGAATTCTGGTCGAGCAATATCCTCAATTGCCAGTCTGTTCAAAGTATCAACGTTGATTCCAAATGTTGACATAGATAATGTTTGTATGAAATATGCGGCTTTAATTTATTTAGTTAATATTTCTTCCAGTGCTACTTCTTCACAGTAGAATTTGGCCTGTGTAGAGAAAACGGTAAGCTGAAGGTCTATGGGGCAGGATTGCTTTCTTCGAGTGGAGAGTTGAAGGTACAAATATATCATTTTGTCAACTCAAAATAACTTATAGAAATTCAAAAAAAGAAGAAAGACAGAAATATAGAGATATAAAGATAGATAGAAAGATGCCATTAGTTGCCTGTCTATTTATTTTTTCTTTACCTACGTCAGTTTCTGAATTGTTCTGGATGGGGTGATACATTTATATTATTGTTATATCAATATATCCATGTTTAGGAAACATGCAATTATATGATCAATTAGTAAAACATATTTGTATATGTATATATGATCTTCAGCATGTCCTAACTGAAAATGCCCCCAAGAGGATGTTTGAGCCTACAGTGGCATGTGCCCAAGAATGTATGATCACTACATTCCAAGAGGGATATTTCTACTCTGACAACTTTGAACAAGCGAAAGATAAAATGAGGTTAGTTTTCTATATAAACCAAATGCTATCATATAGGATTTGGTAAGATATTTTAGTTATGAACAATCTATGAATTAAATGTTATCAAAAAGCGTTTGCGCCATAAGAAGCCTGTGATAAATTTTATGAGCAATTTTAAAATACAGATCCATTACACGGTGAATAAAACGTTATACAGATTGTTTTAATTTGAGAACCAATTACAAATTTTCTTATGAGAAAAACAAACCAACCGCGACCAACTATTATAAAGAACAGCACAAAGGCATTGTTTGAATAACACACAAACCAATACAGTATAATTGATGAACCAGCACAAAACAGTGACTATGTCAAATGTGAATATTTTACAGTTTTGACAAATAACAAATCTCTACATGAATTAATTTGAAAAAATGTCAAAACATAGATGAGGTATTTATGTTTTGTTTCAGGCAATTCGCATCGACTATCCAGAGACCATTTTCTGTGAAATACAATCCTTATACACAAAGTATTGACATCATCAGTACCAACAAAGACATTGCAGGCATTGTGAATGATATACAAAATGAACTGGATTTACTAACTCATGCCTTGAATAACATGCACATGATTAGAAAATAATGACACATTCAACAGTAAAACAAAAAACGCTTCAGACTGAACAGGTGTATCGCTAATATATTAGTGTGTTAACAAATAAATGTTTTATAGTGTCGAGGAGAGTAAATAGTCCTGAGGCCCAAATATTGCCTAGTGTCAAACTCGTTTCCCAGTTTGATTTTCAATCATGATGATCATCATTATACATACCTTAGAAATCCAAGATGGCCTGTGTACCGAATTGTTGATTCAGAAATGAAGTTTACTGCATGTTTAATACATTTACACATACATTTGACATGACTAAATCTGATACGTCGACGGGCCGGAATGTTAGAAATCATGCACCTGTGAAAGATGCACAGGTACTATATCTAGTATTCACCTCAATATAATTAAATATTTGTAAAATAGTACTAAAGTATTACAGACCAATAAAATGAGATTAATTTACAAGTTTTTGACTTGGTTATGACCTTGGTATTTATGAATTTAAAAGTCAACATTTTAAGATGTAAAAATGCTATATTTAGCAAAAATGCAAAAAAGTGTTAGAATATATAGCAGTGATAAGGATCAATGTTCTTTTCAAAAACATGCCTCTCTGTGTAGAATGTTCCATTCGGCAGATGTTCAGAATAACAAATTAAATGTTGGGTTGATTATGAAGATCACAAGATTTATGCAAGCTTCTAAAGCCTACACATTTTGTTGGTCTTATGACAATTTGTCATTTTAGACGAATCGTGACAAGATGAAATTACTTTGGTGTGAGACAATCATTAAATACTGTCAATGTATATTATATATATAAGGATAGTTCAGTAAAATATGTTTTTACCAATTTTAGTCTTTTCGTTCTTTATTTGTCTGAGATGCGCTTATTTTGATAATAAGTTTAGCGATTGAAGAATAGTTACTAAGATCAGTACAGTAGTAATGTATATTTCTTTCAATATAAGTACAAGTACAGTAAACACTTACATGACTCAGTTTCGTTTTTTTAAAATAGCACTATAGTCACGATAACATGACAGTATAAAAGCAAATTAACTATTAACTATTTGAAGAAATATTTTACTAAGAGGGCAAAATGCATCTAAAATACGCAGATACAATATAAATTCAGTTGAAACAAATATTGTGAAGCAATCTCTTCTCCTGTAGACTAGTCATCCTGCAAAAAATAAATGTTGGTCTGCTTAATTCTGATTTGCATGTATTCTATTTACGTATTCAATATAAATGATAGGTATAGATATGGTGAACTAAATTCAACAATGATTTTCTCTTAAACCAATTATTGAAAACATTCTGTAAAAAACGGTCCTTGATATAATATTGACTGATTGACAACAATTTGACGCGAAAATTATTTATATATATTTTAGATATTTTTTTAGTGCAATTGATTTTTGTTCCTTTCTACCAATTCTTGAGAATGTAATAAAATGTCTTTCCGAACCTTGTTAGAACAAAATAGCACATATGATATGCAACATTTTCTTACACCTCTCAATATTATAATTATACAAATCAAAGGAAATTTTGTTTGATTTAACTAAAAGTATTCAAAAAATTAAAACAATACCCCCCAAAATAGATAAAAATTAAGATAAACCTTTTATTTTATTAACAAGATACTTTTTTTAAATCAACCAAACTTTCCTTTGTACAATTACAATATTGAGAGACCTAAACACACATTGTGTTCATGTCGTTCTGTTCCAATGAGGTTTGGATAGACGTTTCATTTCATTCCGAATGTATGATACCAAGAACACAAGAAGTGTCTGATGTGTTTTCTAAAACAATATAGAGAAAAGTATATTTTTTTCAAATTATATTGTTGCCATATTGACGATGTGTAAAACTTTCAGAATTTTTTGCTGACTGGTTTAAGAGAAACGTGTGTTCAAAAAGTTCACCATATCGATACCAATCCTTTACTGATTCATATACGAGGCTTTTTGTTTTGTTTATCAAAAGTTGGATTTCGTACTTTCGTATATTAAACGTGTAAGTGTTAATCTTAAATGAAATTTCTTAAATGTTTCTGTTGTGTGCGAATGTGCGAATTAACCTTTAAACGCATTTTAACTGATATAATGCACTGACCATAAAGGGTATACTCACACGTGCTAATGAATGATGCGTGGAAACCTTTCCAAACGACACTGATATCAGCATGGAAAAGCACAATCAATTGACTACCCGTTGAAGTAAGAGTAGGAGGTGGCGTTTTCCCACAATATCTGGAACATTCAAAAAAGTACTTTATATACATGTTTTGTACAGGACCTATACAGTAATATACGATTTTAAGCACTTTTTCATGTGCTTTATTGTCGTCGGCTTGAGGCTTTGGGCAAGATATCCTTGATATTGATGAATTGCGAGTATTTATAGAAGTGTTAGTTACACATTTTAAAATTTATATATTTTTTATTTATTTTACATTTTAAAATTTATATATCTTCATTAGTTTTTTTTTTCTTTTTCAAATATAGTTTATTCCAATTTAGGTTTTTACGATACAGAAATACAATGATACAATTAATTACAATAATGTATAATGAGTTAGGCTATGTTTTAATCATTTTCCATTTGCTTTTAAAAAATACATTTTTACGAGTACAGATTTCAAAATTTAAGGTTTTAATAGTGCCTTCAAAATTACGCTTAATACCATTATTCAGTTCTTGAATATATTTTTTATACTTATAGTATATAACAAATGACACAATACTTATAAAATAGTTTAAAAATTCAGTATGATTGTCATTTCCATCATAACCAATTATCAATTTTCTGTAAGTTACTCTTAACCCTGAGATATTATAAATATGTTTCCAAATGTTTTGAGAATATGAGCATGGAAATAAGAAATGTTTCAAGGTACATAAATTAAATTCATTACATAAACTACAGTTGTAGGTTTCACTTTTACCAAATATATATAAAGCACTAAGGCTAGGAAGAATATTGTTGATTATTTTAAAGTTGAAATTACCTATTTTCTTTTCTTTACAACTTATTTTTGTAGAGAAAAAGTTTTTGCCAATTTTTTTCATCATTGGCTTCATAGCAAAACTCTTGTTCCCATTTTCTTTTCATAAACCATTTTTCCGATGTATGTTTTTTTTTAATATTTCATAAAAGAATTTGGATTTCTGATTATTCACAGTGATAATCACATTATTCATATTAAATTTAAAAGTATTATGAATATTTGTATACTTGACAGATTCTAAATTGAATCTTTCTTTCAGTGTGCACGTGGCTGATAAAACTCTGTAATATTCAGATATCCAATTTTGTTTATTTACAAGTTTTTGATATAGCATATTAACATCAAGGAACCTGTTCTGAATTATCAAGTCTTTTATGTATATAATTCCACTTTTGATCCATGATTCAAAGAAAATTGGTTTATTCTGACAGTGAATAATTTGTTTCCCCATATAACCTCTTGCAAGAGTTCATGTTACTTCATATCTCTTATATTTTTGATGCATTTACATAAACAATGTGCTTCCAGCACTTGTTGATAAAAAAGCGGAACATTTTCAAATTCTTTGAATCTAGTATCATTTATCTTGAGTAATACATCTATATTTGGAAGAAATTTATTGAAATGGAAGTAAGGGATTTTATTGTACATGTTTGGATTATGCAAACGGGGAATCCATGCTGCTTTAAGTGCATGTATTTGAGACTCTAAGTCAATCATATTAATACCACCCTTATTAATATTACTTATGATTATAGTTCTTCTTATTTTGTCCTTTTTTCCATCCCATAGAAATTTAAATACAAGATTGTTTACTTTTTTTATAATCTCATGTGGCATAGATAATACTGATGCTGCATAAATCAATTTTGGAATTGCCAGTGATTTAATCACTGTAACTTTGCCAAATAGTGTTAAATATCGGTTCTTCCAGCTGTCTAATATCTTTTCTACTTTTTTACTCTATCTTCCCAGTTTAATTCATAACATTTGTTTGTTGTGTCCTAAAAAGATTCCTAAATATTTGATTGGTTCATCAGTAAAAGTTATATTTTCACATTTCTTTTCAAAGTCTTTATTTTTTCCAAGCCAAATGCCTTCAGTTTTTTCTATGTTTAACTTCAGACCAGAAAATTTTGAGAAATTGGAAATATATATCTTCATTAGTAATAAGTCGATGAAGATATATTAATATATCGAAAATTTGTAACCCAAACAATTTGTTCTTTTCTTGAAATTGATAGTATTAACCCTAGAAGCCCTAAGGTAAAAATAGTCACACGAACACCTAAGGGGGGGGGGGGGTCAAAAGGGCACCCCCCTTGTAAAAATTTTATTAGAAGAGCTAGGATGTTCAAACTTTTTCCACATATTCTTCATTCAATTTATTATCTACAACTTGGTGTAAAAACTTTAACAACTACGATGATGTAAGATTGCGCAATTGTATTCATAAGACAACACGTATTGTAGAATTAGTGCTAGCTTTTTTCTGATTTTGTCAATTGGAGCTGATGATTACATCATAATAAATTAATAACAAATTAGTACAGCTAGGATGTTCAAACTTTCCCAAAATATACTTCATTCAATTATCTACAACTTGGTGTAATTACTTTAACAACTATGATGATGGAAAATTGTGTAATCTTATTCTAAAGATAACACGTATCGTATGGTTAACACGTATGGTAGAAATAGTGCTAGCTTTTTCCGATTTTGTCAATTGAAGCTGATGATTACATCATAATAAATCAATTACCCTATGTACAATTTTGCTGATTTTTTCAGAAAACATTTGTTATATCTGTAGCTTCAGCTACTGAAAATTTGAGGACCCTACCAGATGGCAATATTACGTAATAGGGAAAAAACTTAACAGGGGGGTCATATTGACCCCCCCCCCTTAGGGCTTCTATGGTTATAAAGCTTTCTACGTATTACCTTCCCACTAAACGTTGATCGCCATAAACTTCCACATAATCATATTTACAGTCCGATCCACCTTCTAAGTGAAAGATGTTGAATATCAATTTCACTGATGATCCACTTTCTGCGTTGATGGTCCAAAGACAATTTGCACCATTCGGATAGTTGTGTTCAACGTTTCCTACACATGTGCTTGAGAATTCCCCTGTTCCCGATAAGGTTCCACCACATTGTCCTAAAGAAAAAGTTAGTATTGGTAGCTAAATATTGGCTTAAATAATATTGAATTGATGATTGGTTCTTTATATAGACATGTAATATACTAGATAAGTATTCAATCTATACTTCGTCCTGTGAATTTAGGAATATTTTAGGTATTATGTATCTTGATTCACAAGGCCTTAGATGCTATAACCACCTGAGCTCTGAAGTCGAAGATAGGTACAATAGAAGTTTAAAAAGGATCATTCAAGGAGCACGTGGAATTTGATAAAAGTCAAAAATGGACGAAGACAAATTTAAACACGTAATTACTCACCACACTGTTTTACGTTACAATATTCCCATCTGGTGTTACTATCTGTCGTATAGCACCAAGGACCTTCCGGCTCGTTATCAGGGTTACGGCAATAATTATTGGCATCCTTTAGGTTGTCGTCGGGGAATTTACTGGGATCATTGTTGTTACCATGTCCATGGGGGCTCTGAGAGTCCCATCTCTGACAGGTTTTCCCGGATCTTGTGGAAGATATCTTTCCTTGGTATGCTTTGCCCAAAGTGGCTGTTTTACATTCTGGGAATATCATAGTGGTAAATAATTTTCTTTTCAACTTTTAATCACTAACTTTGAGTTTCTCAAACATCGGACGCCTCAGTTAAGACATTAAAACAGTATATTGGACACAAGACTACATAACAGCTATGAAAAACAGTCATACACGTAGTTCGTTCTAGAGGACGTGCGTTTTGACAAAATGATATTCAAGATGGGAAAATGGGTTTGGTTGCATTGACAACTTAACTTGACATTAGTACTGTAAGTTTAAATAACCCATACTTCATATATTGCATTGTATGTTATTGTAATTGTATGTAGGCCTATAGTTTTAGTTTTTATTTTATCATTATTTGCTGTACACTTACCCGAAAGGGATTCTTAGTACAATAAAGCATTGAATAATATAACTTGGATCTCTAAATAAATAAAAGAATGTGTGCCACAAATTGTGCAAAAACCATATTTAAGTATGCGACAGAAATTGAGTGGGTACTCTTTATACGTTTCCTTCCTTCGCTCATTTATGAACGTTGTACATATATGGCAATGTGATACAAAATAAAGTAGGAATGGTAGCAGAATATTGTTCATGTTCGGCGTTAGGCCCAACGACTTGACATTATATGTACTATGCAAGAGCAATAAAAACTACAAACGTCCAGACGTCACCCATGGATAAGGATGATCAGTTTCTGGAAAGGTATGTCTGGTAAAAACATCGACGCTTCATGATATTGAAGAAATGTAGGGTTGCATTTTTTGGGTCACCCTGTATAACTCACCACATTGTTGTACATTACAATATTCCCACCTAGTGTTACTATCTGTTGTATAACACCAAAGACCTTCCGGCTCATTATCAGGGTTACGGCAATAATTGTTGGCGTCTTTGAGGTTGTCGTCGGGGAATGTACTGGTATCATTTCTGCTGTGTTCATGTGGGCTTTGACGATTCCATCTCTGGCAAGTTTTCCCGGATCTTGTAACGGATAGCTTCCCCTGATATTCATTGCCTAAAGTGTCTGTTTTACATTCTGCATAGTATTCTGGAAAACAGATATTTCCCGATGAATTTTTCAGGTTGCATTGCTATGAGTACAAGAATCTGCAACAGGAATACCACGATAAATAATATATTTGTTCGATTAATAGCATTTCTATGGATTCCTTATGAACCGAATCCACTACTGGACAATAGGCAGGGCAAAACGTCTTCCATGAATCCAAATATTGAGGGAAATCTGATGCCTTGTCCTATCTTTCGTCAATGGTGCTTAGAAAATGTTAGAGAGCACAAATACGTTTACCTGAAAGCATGGTCATACTTTTTTGAAAATAACTCGAGCTTTGATTGTTGAGGGCAATCGTTTCAATGTAGCTCCTTATTAGTTTAGCATGGGCTTGCCATGTATGCCAGTCATTTGTTAGACTTGGGGGTTTGAAAATAAAAAAAATGTCAATACCAAACACGTTTACAACTTCCCTCGATATTTGTTGGGTAAGAATACTGTCATTAGAGGGTTTGCTAAATAGCTTTGAAATCTCGGTAAAGTTTCGTTTAATGAGATTTTAGAGGATCTGCATTTTCATCCATTAAAGACCAACATTTTCTTCTATTTAAAGGCAAACCCACTTTGATTTGCAAAGATTTTTCCATTTATTTAATTTTCAAAGATTTTAAAGCTTTCTGAAATTGGTTGGGCTATGGCTAAATTCCCATTCACATCATGTTAAAATCCCTTTAATATCATTTACTGTTTCAACACAATTCAATAGATCGATAGATTTGGAAATAAAGTATTTCTTCCATTATGTCCAAATGATAGTGCAAATTGCAAGTTATTTTGAGTCTTCCGAAATCGAAATAAAGTTATTTTCCAAATTAATTACCTATAGCTTGAACATCAGATAAGAGACCGATTGCAATAAAAGCTATGATGAATAGGTTTTGCATGATGTTATATCTTCTTTCTTCTTCCAGCAGTCTTCAGCAACTAAGAACACGTGCATTCAGCTATCTGATCTACTCAACAGCACATCATCCGTAATGGTCTTACATTATAACGCGTCTAATGAGGACATGACTGAATCACCGTGAATCGGCGTATTCTGCAAGACAGGAAATGAAACAGCATGAAAAGTGAAAGTCATCCTCAATGAATATTCTATGCGAATTTTAAAAAACTACAATAATCTACTTTTCATTGTACCTAGGCATTTCAATTTATTTAATAATTTAGAAATGTCAGACCACTGCAACTAATCACGGAGTTCTAACAGTGAATAACAAAATGAATAAAGTAGCGATTGAGGTGTGTACTAATTTTTATGTAGTGAATACTCAGAACGTGTCTTTATTGCCAAATGAGGACCTTCAGTATTGCAAATTATTTTCATTTTCAATAAACTTCTGAGAGAAAAATGTAGTGGAATTTAAACTACCTATATCTAGTCAAACACGACCAGTTCTTCTATTAAACATCTTCAAATCGCCATTTATCACTTGTGCAGTACAAGAGTATTGATGGATTTACATAATGGCATTTGAGATGTTTAAAAGAAGAACTGGTCGTGTTTGACTAGATATAGGTAGTTTAAATTCCACTACATTTTTCTCTCAGAAGTTTTTTTCAACACTCGTGGTTTCTACGGGTAAAAAGTTTTCCCTGTAGTTAAGTTGATAATGGAACGATCTGCCAACATTTGGTCGAATTCATTTTGTTCTATCATAATGATCTTCGAACACTCGGTCCTTTCTGCGTCATCACCCTCACTAATACAGGGCATTGTACGACCGATGGAAGCCGAGTGGACGAAGATGTCGCATACAAACGGTACATTTTTTCTCCCAATAAGAGCGAAATTCCGTTTTCGAACGAGATATTGGTTGCCATTGCCTTTCTGAAGACAGAACTCGACACTATACGTTGTTCAAATGAAGGAAAATTCTTGTATTCTTCGTATTTTCGAGTAGCAACATATCCTCTATTGGAACATTTAACAGTCAAGTTTTTCAAATGCAGTAGAACTATTTTGAGCATATTGTGCATTATACACTCCCCTACATAACTTTGGTAATAGGAATTTCCCGTTTTGATTACTTATCAGAACATTTTTATGTTTGGCGATTTAAATTTTTCATAAAACGAACTATTGTAATTATAATACAAAATTAAGATCAAACATTGACAGGCGTTGATATGATATCAAATGAAAACTTCCAGTTGTCAAACTTATAGAGGGGAGTGTTCATTGACTGAATTTAGTTACGTGTAGCAATTCATTATTTTACCTTTATTTTCAGAGGCCTGGAATACCTACAAGTCTTAGTCTAGTATTATTCTCAACATGTATGGCCATTGTGATTCTGATCAGGTAAATGAAATACAGAGCAATAAATAGAACATATTAAACATGCAATATCGGTGTATACTGTACCAGCATGATTCAATATAATGCGAGTGTGTACATGTGTAGTTCTATGATATTAATAACATTGAACTGGAAGTCGTATGTGATGATACTGGTGAATATGAACCTTAAGGTACAGCTGGAAAATAACATTTTGCACATGTTATTTTCTGGTACAAAATAAAGAATGAAGGCATGTGTCAATTTCCCTGCTTTTTTCAGGAAAGTATCATTACATTGTCTTATTTTAGAATATCTGGTAGGAGTTCAATTGGAACTCCAGGAAATTCTGATATTTCACACTTTCTATTTTTAAATTTTCTTTCAAAGTTTCCAGACAACACAGGAGCTACCATTGATCTGTTTCCAGGTTTACTAAAAGTAGACAGTGTAATGATACTTTCCTGAAAAAAGCAAGGAAATACACCCATGCCTTCATACTTAATCTTGTACCAGAAAATAACACGTGCAGGTAGCAATTTTTTACCAAAATGTTACTGTCCAGCTGAGCCTTAAATCATTCTTTAGTGGGACAACATTAGTTAGTTCATTGGATATCTGCTCAGGTTGGCAGTTAATGGGGGATGCCAAGTGTCATCTGGCAGCGCTGAGTCTTATTTGCATCATATTGTAATTGAATCTGTACCTGACAACCTACACGTATTTCACAAGGCTATCATCACACTTAACCATCGACAAGGTACAGTGACAAAATATACCGTAGTACACTTTAGATGTACGATGTCACTATTTAACCGATTTGAAGCAAAGACAATGATGTAGGTTTTAAAAAAATAATCTGAGGAATGCATTAAGGATTTCATGTTTGATTTTTTGTGTATTCGTTTAGGAAGACATTTAACTTCCTAATAACTTTAAAAGATTTTCGAACAGTGCTCGATTTTTTCGTAGTCAATCTACCCATATAATTGATCGGAAAATTGATCGGAATTGATTGGAAAATGTTGCGTTTATGCACATTTCCTTAGATCATTTCCTCCCCTGTCGTCTAAGAGTGTCGAAGATTTTTATTAATATATGTTTCTTTAAACAGCACAATTAAGGTCTGTTGAAGATTAAGTAAGTATCAATATTTTGGCTATAATTTAAAAAGTCATAAGTGTATGTTGTCAACTCGAATGTACGTTATCCCATTGAACTTACTCAATTCACAGTTAACCCTAATGCAGACAGAGTATTTTTCATAACACTAACAGACATGGTGGTCAGATGCATTTAAAATTGAAACAGAACAATTACAGAATTACTTCAATTTGATTGAACTATTGAAACTTTCCAGATATATCATAAACGGGATTTTGAAAAGTCATATCCAATAAACTAGTATAGATCAGTAGATCTATCTATCAATGTAACTAACAAAACGTAAGGTAGAGACGCCAAATAATCAAACAGGCTAGAAGGAGACTCCATGGCAGTATTAGTCTTCAACATATCCTATTCTGAGACACTGGATGGGAGTTTGTGCTGGAAGCTAACACCAAATGGGCACCACCACCACCAAAACAATACTTTCATAAAATGAAAAAGATCACGTGTTACTCATAAAAAACTTAATGAATTTTGAAATGAAATCATTACATTGTTTAATATTACGTATATCTCATGAATATCAATTACAGCGACAACGTACATTCGAGTTGACAACGCACATTTCTGATTTTTTTTAATTACAATAAATACTTGAATATTTATTTATCTCCACCCGTCCTATATTGTGTAGTATAGAGAAACATATTCTCATAAAAATAATCGACACTTTTAGCCAACAGGGGAAAAAATGATCAAAGGAAATGTGAAAAACCCAACATTTTCCAACCGATCAATTTTCGTGGGTAGTTTGACTACGAAAAAACCGATCGCTGTTCGAAAATCTTTTAACGTTATTAGAAAGTTAAATGTCTTCCTAAACGAATACACACGAAATTAAACATGAAATATTTATTCACATTGCTTTCACAGTGTAAAATGTATATGCATGTTCGTGTAAGAGTATTTAAAAGAAGAAGAGGCGATAGAGATAAGTAAGAGAGTAAACATTGTCACATTTTTACTTCTTCCTCTCATCAATTCATATTGTGCATATTTTCCCCAAAGTTCAACAAATAATGGTATTTCAGGAAAATTGTTAGATTTAAAAGGCAGAAAAGAGGCCTTGTCTTTTTCAACTCTTTCTACTGATTCTACTAATTTTGATGTCTCTGCGTCTTAAATCGTCAATAATCTCTATATTTGTTCGGATATATCAATTCTCTTTTTCAGAAAATAAAATTAATACAGTAATGAGAAAAAACATTGGCACGACTTTGAAGAGATTGCTTCCGAAGTATTACAGATCACGCCAATTCCATCAAGGGAGCAGAGTCAACGAAGATGTTCTAATTCCTTTAGGTATTTTGATTGCATTAGTGTTTATAAAGTGATATTTTAACGGAAATAAGATGACATTGACAATTACAGATTGTTGCTTCAAGATATCAATATTTTCTGTAACATGTTGTTTCATAACCCCACTGATAAAATCTGGTATATATCACATGAACGCTTTTTTCAATTCTAAATTTTTTGAAACAACTTTGTTAAGCTCAACATATGTAATAACTAGCCACATATCTCTCTATAAAAGGTACATATGTTTACCTTCAGCATACAATCTGAGAACAATAATCTGCTTCTCTTTTTATAATTTACGAATAGTAGCCATGAATATGAATCAAACAGATGACCCGATGGTGACTACCAAACACAAGTTTGGTTAAATTATGTTGTCAATAACTTGTTTATTGAGAACATAATTGTTACAAGCATGTCAATATTCGGCCTATAAGTCCAGAATTGCATTAGCTTTCCTATGATATATAGAATATGGGACAGTGTTGTTCTTGAACCAAGTGATGGTCCCAATTGACTTAGATATGGCAAGATGATTGCATGTATACTTTGTTTATATAAAAGTACGTTCAAAAACATCACTCAGATAAAAAAGATTACATTTTGTGAATAAGGTCAAGCGCAAGATATCTCTGTTCTATTGTATGTTTATTATGTTCTATTATAAATCGCAAGTCATCACTCGTCGTGCCTTCCTTCCTCTTGAATGGAAATTTTAGTGATGAAACGGAATTAGTGATAAAAAGGAAAGGATCATCAAATATCATTATGTCGAATAAAAAGAACTCCGAGATTCGTTTAGTGGGATATTACACAGATAAATATACTTCAAACGATGACACGACTTATAACAAAATATCTGTTAATGAAACGCCCATTACTGCTGTTGTTTATGATGGTGCCTTGCAAAACACGAGTCCAAAAGAGTCGAAAATTCCAGCCAATGGTTTATACAATGGTGATGTATTTCCAGTGACCGAGAAGAAAGAAAAAGAAGTGGAATATGAGGATCTGGATGATGGGGGTGCTCATGCTAAAAAGTTGTTCAACTACAAACTTGCTAAAACCTTTCTTATAATAGGCTCATGGACCGTCAACGTGAGTATCCGTCACAATTTGAAATACTCTGTGTACTCTGATAATGTTTTTGGTACATCCATTTGAACAACCTCCTCTATAAAGATCTTTTTCATAAAATCAAATGTTGAGTCTTATCCCATATTCATTACTGACCAACTGGCGGATCCAGGGGGTGGGGGAGGGAGCATGGGCCCGGGACCCCCCCCCCCTAGGATGGGCCCAGAAATATTTTAGGGTCCTAACAATTTCATAGCTCAAAAAAATTGCAGGGAATAACTTGGGCCGTTTTTAGACCAATTTATCAAAAGGCTTTAAAATTTAGGCCGTATTTTTGTTTTTATGGAAACGTTTAGAAGATTTTTTTCCTGACTTGATATGTGCCCCTCCCATTGTTAACTTTTGGATCCGCCAGTATGACCGATCACTTTCACCGACACAAATAATTTCTGAATCCCTCCATTATCTGATTGTTCGTTTGGTTTATCCCAAAATGGAGTCCTTGAAAAAGCCAAAAAGGAAGACTTAAAAATGAATCAATCGAGAGAAATACAGTCTTCGATTTGAACAACGTTAGACGTTCCAAACTCTAGTTTAAACTTGCAGATTTTGATTATTCACATCTTACATTCAGGGTTTGATGATGGGCATCAAGTTCCCGACTATTCCCGATCTACAAGAGAGAGTTGGCGTTAAAATTGCGGATCTGACTGGAGCGGCAGCAATGAGAAATGTTGGTTGGATTATGGGATGTATATGTGGAGGTAAGGCCCATTTCACTAGCTTGGAAACAATTTGTGAACTTCGCTGTTCAAAGAATAGAAATTACTACAACACAAGCGAGACGAGATATCTTTCCCAAATTACAATTGAGCGCAAGGAGGATTGAATCTCAGGTTTTCATCTCGTTATTCTGCCATATATCATGGCGATGCCGTGATTACAAAATTCGAATTCAAGCAGCTTCCGCCATTTTGTTCAATTCAGAATTTGCTATTTTATAGTTCATAAATATTTTAGGTATTATGTTCGACCGATTGAGGAAAACGTGGGATCTGCAATTGGCTGTAGGGTTCTTTACTCAGGCATTCTCCGTTGCATTTAAACCCTGGTGTAGAAGTGTCGAGGCTTTGGCTGTCCTCTATTGGATGGAAGGTGCATCGCATGGAATTTATGGTTTAGGTATTTAACATTTACTTCCATCAAACATTCAACAAGTTACGAGGAACAGATATGTAATGTCGATCAACCAAGACTTTGATTTAGGCAATTTGCATCTTCATTCACAAGGTTTCAGTTGATCCAACTTAATTTGATGTGATAACACGTTGACGTGACGTCGAAGATGCCTAATTTGCAGAACATGTATTCATTGTTACTGTTTTGCATCTGTTCTCTTCCATCTCCCCTTGAACAGCTGATCACGTTGAGCCTCTCGTTAACAAGTTCTGGTATTTTGGCACTCATATTTGGGCAAATATATTAATTTTGTACTTTTAGTTGGAAATGGCATGATGATAGCAACGTGGGGTGGAAATTCAGCGGCCCCCTTGCAAGCTATGCATTTTGGATTCAAGACAGGTGAATTTATTGCACCCTTATTAGCCTATCCATTCCTGAGTAATACAAGAGGAGGACAAGCGACAGTCAACTCGTCTCTCCCAGTCAACGGAACCGGAACTGAATTTGATTCCAACATCGAAGTGCCTTATTTCATAGTTGGAGCCGCAGCAATCGTAACATCATTGGTATATTTGGTATTCTATTTGGCACCACGCCCTATTGGATTGACATTTACCAATCAAGCAAAAGGAACAAGTCTTAAAGATCTCCTACATCCGGGGTCTTTTACTAGGGGCAATGTGAAATTCGGTGTGATTTTGATGACGTGCATGTTCTTTTACTACACCTTTGTAGGGACGTATAGCTCACATTTTCATTTACTTCAAGCATCCATCGCCACAGATACATTAAACGCTACTAAACAGGAAGCTTCCCTTATCGTATCAGCCGCTAGAGGCGCCCAATTAGCTGGTCAGTTTATTTTCATATTAATTGCAAAGTATACTCCGATGCCATTTGTTGTATTCACTGTGACACACGCAATTGCTATTATCAATGTAGTAGCCATTGTGTATTCTCTTAAGAGCCTTCTTAATTTTGGAATATTTGGATGCGTCTTTGATTTCTTTTTCGCGAGTGTGTGGGCATCGGGTATGGCTTGGGCTGAACTATACATGGATGTAACCGGCTCGGCAATTATGATATGGAATACAGGGCATGGTTCTGGTAATACTCTAATTGAGTGGGGTAGTGGGTATATCTTGCAAAATTATGGAGCGAATAGTGTTATGGTCCTGAATGCCATATTTGCGGCTATAACATGCTTGGTGATATACGCCACACAGAGTTTTATGTCATATTATGGTAAAAAGAGCAGAGAGAAATCTTAGAATCACGTTTTCATATAAAATAATAGCAGTCATGATAGGATTTGTGAAACGTCCATACAAAACACGGACTTATTAGGCCATGTAATACACATTAACAGACGCACAAACGGAGAAATGAAAAATCATTTTAAGAGATTGTTACCTATAGTTACTAAAGTAACACTGGAATAAATGACTACACAATGGATACATTGGGAAAGATGGGATGATAAACGTCTAGATTAAGATGTTTTTGATTAATTTTATGATAAAACACGTAACACGTTGTGTAAACCAAAAACGATATATTGTAGCTCTGTAAATATTGAAATAAACATATAAAATACCTGATTATCTATAAAATGAATGAGTAGAAATCCATTTTTCTCAGGTAAATGTACTAGATATAGTATTTTGTCATCCATTGTGTACATGCACGTGTATATGAACAGCAGAGCAATTATTTTCATCATTTGAACCAAAAAAGAGGTTGATTTGTATCGAAATATTTTACCCCTATGTTAATAGAAACATCTGATTACCGAAAAGCAAATCAGTCATTATTTATATATGGGTAATATAACTGGATACAAATCAACATCCTTCTTTTTGAAAATGAAGAAAATTCCCTCCGATGGAAGTTCATCCATTTTGTTATGTAGTCGAAACGTCTTTATAACCAGGTGGGGACCGAAGATTATTTTAGTTATGCTGAGAATATCCCGTTCAAGATTAAATTAAAGAAATTTAAAGTTTACTTCATTAAGATTACTAGTATGTTAGAATCTAACATACATCTGAGTATCAGAATGCCCTTTGTACATCTCATCTAACAGTTAGATGAGATGTACAAAGGGCATTCTGATACTCATAGCATCTCTCTCTCTCTCTCTGTTGCATCGCATCCATAAGGATAGAGATGGAGAGGGTGTGGCTTACCACGATGTACAAAGGGGTGGAACCAGTGAACATGTCTGGTGTGGCATTCAATCTCCAATCAAATTCTCACGTTCGCAAAACAATTGCCAAAGTCCTTTAAACGACAAAGGCACATGTACCAGGCTATAGAAATAGATAATAGAATGTTTAGTTTAGATAGTTCAAGATTTAAAACAAAATAATGAGTGTTACAATATGTTTACATATAATTTCTTATCTTGGTTACTGTGCATAGTGTATTCTGTTAATCGTGAGCATATCTTGGGCCCGATCTCAGGATCTAGGGGCTCAACTTAGTAAGGACCTGGTCTTATTGATTTCAAATTTGAAGATTTTTCCGGATTGACTAAAATATGACGAGGTGAATTCAGTATTTTGTGTGCTCCTATGAAAGACTCATCTTAATTTCTGAGATACTAGTTTTTATTTCAGTCATGGTCTAAGCCAAGGTCAAATCAACGTTTTTGAAATTTCTAAAAGCCTGGATATTTTTACCCGATATTTAGTCATTTAACAATACCAGTAATTGAAATGGTGGTTCATTTAGTCCAACAAGCACGAACACATTATACCACCAGTTGCATGAGTATTCTAAAGTAAATGGGAAATAAGGAAAGGCGTGGCAACCTAGAACATATTGAGCACGCTACAATATTATACATGTATCTTCTTATAAATCATTGCTTTATCATTTGTTCTATTTTGTTATTTATCTAACATTGGTATACTTGTGGATACATAACTACATGTATGAATATAGAACAATTAAGGAAATTCAAATTTAACTGAAAAAAGCGAGTGCAGACCTCTAAATAAATGTGATGGCGGAATAGATGGAGTAGGCGTATAATTTTCTGAAAGAACAAATACATCCTTTATAATTGAATTCATTATGTAAACGCAAATTACGATAACTAGAATTTCAGTCCAAAAAAGTTGTTATTAGATCTTTGTGATCTTTGATGGCTTAAGCTAAAATCGAACCTTAAAGGTAAGTTTTACGCTAATTTTTTTGTCACTAAAATGGGCTCATTTCAAAAATCTGCATATGTTTTTACTTACTTTATCAATTGTTCTCTCATATCCTATGGAAAGCTCTGGAAATAAATGTTTTGTGACTCTAGGTTTGTCTAAAGCTATAACAAAAACGTCCGCTTCTGATACAAATGTATGCAGACATTGTGTAGACATTGAATATTCCCGTCGATGGTTTCGATATGTTACTCTTCTTCATTCTGGAGCAAAAAATATATTTTTGAGTAATTGTGTTTTAATATTTTTTATTTTATATCGGGAAAATCTAAAATATTTCATATTTTTAAAATTCTAATGTCATCCGCTGCAGATGTGTTTCATCATACACTGTTGCTCATACTTATGTGGAACAATTTCCAACCCACTAAGATTTACACGTTTAATAAACAATAATCGTGAAGAAACATGAACATGGTATTATTTTTAGATCTCACATGGCGTCCTGTACCACATACAGTTTAGAGGTCTAAAGGGATATTTCCACAGACGATGATGACGAAGATGCAAAGGACGACTTTTTGACCAGAGCCATCAAGGACAAGAGAGAGCAAGTCCGAATTTTTCGTGCAATACACAGCTCTGGTACGGGTAAGCTTAATCGTTTCTATAGTTGTTTGATAACAGGAATATCGCTCTCTAGATTTTGAATGTTTTCAAACTTGCTGTGGTGTTCATAGTTTTTGTAACAAAGATGTATGGTGCTCTACTATTCTAGTATTTCGGGAGGTCACTTTGACCGAGACAAGACTCATGTCAAGATATCCAGAAGATACTGGCTACCAAACACAAGTTTATAAAAATGTTCCCAATAAACAATAAGCATGCCAATATTCGGTCCAGAATTCCATAATCTTTTCTATGATATATAGATTACGGGACAATGTGTAACAACCCTCGTTGTTACTTTTATTATTTATGGTCACTTTCCATTATTACAAATATTTTGTATGGGTCATTAATTGCATTTTAGTATATTTTGTACGATTTATATACTTTTATAACTTTTGAATCTGATGGCAAAAACTCCTTGCAGAATACTTTGAAGGCCCTGTAGATCATATAGCTCTAAGGTCAAGGTCTTAGTCTGTTTGTAGCCAATTAGAATACTGGAATTTAGGGGCTTGTTCAACAGAGGCCAGGATTATAAAATGCAGGATAAAATTGAAAATAAATTGTGCTGTTAAATTGTTTAAAATGGTGGACTAAAAGTCCAGTTAGGATAGTTATCTTAAGATACACATTTGCATGAAGCTAGCAAGGATATTTTATTAGGGTAAGATTATTTTGATGTGAAGGATATTTTCGGTTTCGGCAGCTTATGTTAGACTTATGATTTTCTAGCTAGATAGGGTTCAATCTGCCATTTCAATTTCTGTTTCTTTTGCATTTGTTGCCCAGAAAATATGAGTTATGATTAGTATTTGAAGTGCAATAGGCATTGTTACTTTTGAGCCTGATTTGAACATAGTTGAAGATAGATGGCATGCCAGATTGTTCTGATTTTTAGTAAGGTCAGTTAAGTATATTAGACCCAGAGAATAAGTAAATTGAGATTGAAAACTGCATCATTGTTATTCTAGGCAGTATTTAATTATTGCTTGTGTAATGAAAGGTGCATATGTACTTTTAATTAGAGATTTGAAGATAGGTGACAGAGTAACCTGTTGTTGTTATTTGTAAGGCATTCATATGTAGAGAGTTTAAGCATATATAAGGTCAAGTTAGTGCATTGTTAATAATATTGACAACTGCTTTTTGAAGTTATTACAATATCTTATATGAAACAACATGTCTGATACAATTCTGTAGACCTTATTGTAAATATTCATCATTGTACATATTTCATATCATTTTAGTAGTTTTATAATACAGTTACATAATATATATATAATCAAATCATATTCTTTTGTACTATCATTTATGGAGTAGGACAATTTGATAATCAGTAAGGAAAATTCATAACAACCAACACACTCCCTAGTCTAGGCCATATATACGCTACCATAGTAGTTTTAACACCTCGTACATTTAATATTAGTCACGGCTAGGCGAGTGTGACCCCGGTTGTTACAAATGTTGCTCTTGAACCAAATGACGGACTTTCCTACTATCACACCAAACTAGTTTTTACTACGTTCTCGAAAACGGGCTTCAACTGTGTACGAACGGAGTGGACGTACTTAGAACCGTTTGGGGTCTATTTACAAACTTCATCGAACATACTCGAACGGGTAGGTCCTCTAGAACTTAGAACATGCTCAAAATGCTCTCGTGGGCGATACGTTCTACAATTAGAACGAGTGACAACTAACGACGAGCTGGACGTATTACGAACGGAACCGTCGTACTTCAATCCTACTAGGGACGTTTTAACAACGAGTTGAACTGTATGTGGACGTATTGAGAACGGGGTAGAACTAATTGCAAACGAGTGTAAACTGATTAAGAACGTATTTAAGACTGCTTATGAATGAAATATAGCTATCACACCAAACAAGTTGCCACTTCGTTCTTCAAAGCTGGTTTTAAACTGTGTGCGAACAGAATGAACGTAGCTGCAACTTTCTAAGGTCTATTTACGAACTTCATGAACGTTCTCAGGACGGGAAGGTGATTTTAGAATTTTGAATCGATTCAACATTCTATGGCGACCATACCGTTCTGTAATCAGGTCATGATGACCTTCTAGACTAAGGGACGCGTTATACGACGTTGCACACCAACGTGGTGCGACCTGACATATTTCGCGACCACAGCCAGATTGAGCCCGTTTTACGACGTTTTTCGTAGGACTGGCAAGAACGGGTAAGAACTAGTTTGGTGTGATAGGGGGGTTAGATATGGCAAGATTATTGAATGTATACTTTGTTCTTACAAATGTTCAACAAAAACTGCACTCGGATAACATTTTTCAATAATGTCAAGCGTACTTTTGTTCTATTATTGTTTTTATTATGTTCTATTATAAATCGCAAGTCATCACTCGCAAAGTAGGCGTTCTAGGGAAATTTTAGAGATGAAAAATTAGGAACGGGATAAAATAGCATTATGTCTTATAAAAAGAACTCCGAGATTCGTTCAGTGGGATACTACACTGATAAATATACTTCAAACGATGACACTACTTATAATAACACAACATTTGTTAACGAAACGCCCATTACTGATGTTGTTTATGATGGTGCCTTGCAAAACACGAGTCCAAAAGAGTCGAAAAATCCAGCCAATGGTTTATACAATGGTGATGTATTTCCAGTGACCGAGAAGAAAGAAAAAGAAGTGGAATATGAGGATCTGGATGATGGGGGTGCTCATGCTAAAAAGTTGTTCAACTACAAACTTGCTAAAACCTTTCTTATAATAGGCTCATGGACCGTCAACGTGAGTATCCGCCACGTTTTGAAATACTCTTTCCACTTTAATTCTTATTTATATATATCTTAACAGCAAATTACAATAAACGGGTGACACATAATGTATACTATTTGTTTCTGCTTAGCAGAGTGTGTCATATTAGGCCCACAGTCTATAAATAAAATTGGCATAAAATATAAATTATATTATTATTAAGATAATACTTTTTTTCATAATTAAGATGCTTCCAGATTTCAGCAGTTAATTCATTCCAAATAGTTGGTGCAGTGAACTTTTTCTGAAGATGATATAGTGACTTTAGTAAACCTGTACCCGCTTCACCCCAAATAATACTAGTATTTCCATGATACACTCCCCTCCATAAGTTTGGCAACCTTAGCTCCCCCATTGCACTACGTGTTAAAGCCTCTTTAGCTTTGAATTTTTATTTACCTAACCTGCGATGAAAATACTTATACTATTGATGGAAACGTAATTTGACTTTATTTCAAATACCACCAAATGTTTCCAATTTTTTCTCAATATACAATAGGTCGAAAATTGATGATAAATCTGATAAATTTTCGAAAATCGTCATCTGATTCCACATAAATCAGTTTTTGGATCGTTGGTGAAAATATTGTCTATTGAAGTAGTAGATGTAGGAGATACTCGAGTTGCATTATAGATCACCACGAGATTATACGCAACTGTTTTATAGAAGCTTTCTGTAAAATCATGTTCAAAAGATTTAAAGAGATCAATGTGGAAATCTCCAGAAAAATTTTCTTCCCATTCTCTTCAATAATTTCTATAGTTATGACATCGTAGTTTGCATTATTGAATATAAGGTCAGTTCTTCTTTTAGTTTTAATTGAGCTATGAGTAAAGAGACCAGCCCCTCCACCTCTGGTAGTATGAGATTTAAAATACCGGTTGTAATTCATAAACTGAGAAAAAGTAGCCTCTTGATCCTTGTATAACCATGTTTCAGAGAGCGCAATAATGGAGACCCTCTTATCCAATTGATGCCAAAAGGTTTGTCAACTTTCAGTGATTTGATGGCAAACTGCGAATATTGCAATGCATGGTTGATATGTCTATGTTACTCTTTGAATTGATCAAAGTGGATTAAATATTTTATTTTCAAAATTAATCATCGAAGCATCATTTGAAACAGTATCAATAAATTCACTATTATCTATGATTGAAAAGAGACATATAAAACACTCTGATGTAATGAGAAAAATCTGAATATCCAAATAGTTAACAGAGATAAAGCTTGGTGCTCATTGAGTTCTAGGCTCGTTGGCCAGCTCGTTGGTTAAAAGTGTAGGCTAATAACTTGTGAAAATAAGTATCCTGACTGTAAAAAGGCACATATCAAAATGCATCAACCATACAGTAAATACCACAAACCACAATTATCAGCAATAGAGTGTTAAAGTTATGAGAAATCGTATGAGACTTTTCAAAGTCCCATATCAGTGAGTTCGAAACGACGGATTGATATTGTCTTTAGCTTTCCAATTATTTTTCCGTTTGAGCTCCAGGCATTTTCATTTTTTGACATAATCTAGAAGCTGCCTGTTTAATTAAGAGGCTTAGATCCTCAAACAAAAGAATATTAGAGCCCTTTAGGTTCTTCTTGTTCTTGATGATTAAGTAAATATATCCAACTGAACAACCGTGGTGTTTAGAACGATATTCTTCATCAATCACATTTCAAGTCGAATCACATATTCATTTTAACTGCTTGCCAACAAATAGGTCCCGAATTCTCCACCGATCCTCCACTGCCAGTCATTATTTTTATTTGAAGTTACACTGTCTGATCGACTAACTTTGAACCAATAATTTCTGAACTTTTTATATCCCTGGGAAATCCTTGTTATATTCTAAATGGTCCTTTGGTTTGGCCACTCAACCAATGTATACCTCAATATGGAGCCCTTGAAAAAACCAAAAGAGAAGACTTATAGTATGAATCAATCGAGAGAAATACACATAGCCTTCGATTTTAACAACGTTATACCAAACAGAAATTAAATAATTCAACCATTGTTTCAAACATGCAGATTGTAATTATTCACATGCTACATGTACTTTCAGGGTTTGATGACTGGCATAAAGTCTCCAACTGTTCCCGATCTACAAGAGAGAGTTGGCGTTAACATTGCGGATCTAACTGGAGCAGCGGCAATGAGAAATGTAGGTTGGATTATGGGATGTATATTTGGAGGTGAGGCCCTTTCTTTCACCTATAGCATGGAAACGATTTGTGAATTACGCTGTTCAAAGAGAAAATCCAAGAGGACAACGCAGTGAGACAAGATATATTTCCCAAAATAATTACTTACTATAGTACACAAATATTTTAGGTATCATGTTCGACCGATTGAGAAGAACGTGGGATCTGCAATTGGCTGTGGGGTTCTTTACCCAGGCATTCTCCGTTGCATTTAAACCCTGGTGTAGAAGTGTCGAAGCTTTGGCTGTCCTCTATTGGATGGAAGGTGTATCGCATGGAATTTATGGTTTAGGTATTTAACATTTACTTCCGTCAAATTTTTAAGAAATTACGGGGAACATAAATGTTATGTCAATCAACCAAGTCTTAAATTAAAATATGCATAATTTGCATCTTGATTAACAAGGTGTCAGTCGCTTCGACGTAATTTGATGTTCCTTAAACGTCGAAGATGCATGATTTGCAGAACATATCTTAATAACAACAATGAAGACGTTACATTGATCGTGAACCCTTTAATTAATACTTTCCAGCATTGATGTTATTTCATTGGTATAATTTGAATGCATTTGTTTTCCTCCTTCTTTCCTGGAACTGCTGATCACGTTGAGCCTCTCGAAACGGTTTTTGGTCTACTGGCTCTAGAAATACAGCAACTCCACGGAGTAGCAAATCACACCGAACAAAACATATTTTGATTATAAGTGGCCATCTTGAAAATTCCTTTCTGAGCAAAGCTTATTTGTCAACATATAAAATGTAAACCATATCCGTCAATGAGCATTTAAGTTATCAAAGATTACATTCCTTTTTTATGAAAAATGGCAGCCATTTTGAAATTCTTTCTCAAACAGAGTTTCCAACTCTGTTTACTGGTATTTGAGTAATCAAAGATTACGATTTTTACGAAAAATGGCCGCCAATTTCAATGTAGCTCCTTTGTCCTTAGGCATCAGCATATTAAATTTGAACCAAAGCCATCAACTTGCATTTGAGTTATTAAAGATTACCTTTTTATGAAAAATGGTGGCCATTTTGAAATTTGAAAATTATTTCTTGAACAAATCTACTTTGTCCTTAGGCATCATCATTATAAAATTTGAACCAAATCCATTTACTGGTATTTGAGTTATCAAAGATTACGTTTTTACGAAAAATGGCCGCCATTTTGAAAATTGAGCAGCCATTTTGTAAAGCTTTTCTTCAGCGTAGCTCCTTTGTCCCTATAGGCATCAGCATATAGAATTTGAACCAAATCCGTCAACTGGTGCGTCAACTTTGTCCCTAGGAAATAAAATTTGAATCAAATCCGTTCACTCAACGATTCCGTTTTTTACGAAAAATGGCCGGCATCTTGATATTTAGCAGCCATTTTGAAAATCTCTTCTTCAGCCTAGCTCCTTTTTCCCAAGGCATCAACGTATAAACTTTGAACCAAATCCGTGAACTGGTATTTGAATTATCAAAGATTACGTTTTTACTAAAAGTGACGGCCATTTTGAATTGAGCGGCCATATTGAAAATTCCTTCTCGAGCAGAGGTTCTTCTCTCATAAGGCATAAGCCTACAAAATTTAAATCAAATCCGTCAACCGGTATTTACGTTATCGCCCGGACAAACGGACGGACGGACGGCTTTCCTATATCCCCCTCGAACTTCGTTAGGTTCGATAAACATATTGTTTTGTACTTTTAGTTGGAAATGGCATGATGATAGCGACGTGGGGTGGAAATTCAGCAGCCCCCTTGCAAGCTATGCATTTAGGATTCAAAACAGGCGGATTCATTGCACCCTTATTAGCCTATCCATTTCTGAGTAATACAAGAGGAGGGCAAGTGCCTGTCAACTCGTCTGTTTCAGTCAACGAAACCGGAACCGGAACTGAATTTGATTCAAACATCGAAGTGCCTTATTTCATAGTTGGAGCCGCAGCAATCGTAACATCATTGGTATATTTGGTATTTTATTTGGCACCACGCCCTATTGGGTTGACATATACCAATCAAGCAAAAGGAACAAGTCTTAAAGATCTCTTACATCCGGGGTCTTTTACCAGGGGTAATGTGAAATTCGGTGTGATTTTGATGGCGTGTATGTTCTTTTACTACACTTTTGTAGGGGCGTATAGCTCACATTTCCATTTACTTCAAGCATCAA